TTTGAATTTACCGCTAAATCAAACAACTCTAAAAATCGCAGGAGTGGGCAACCACCACACACAGGACTCAAAGGCATCAATCTCAGTAGTGTGTAGACCAACACACCATGACACACCTACGATTACGGCTACAGCGCACATTTTAAAAATTGTTACAGGTTATTTGCCATTACAAAAAGTTCCGCGCATAGCAGATGCAGAGCCTCCGATTCCCTTGGCAGATCAAGATTACCATACACCAGCTCCGATCGATCTCTTATTGGGTTCTGACGTTCTCGGGCAAGTACTGGACGGGACTAAGTTTCTTTGGGCCGGGGGAAGCCTATAGCCTTCGGCACGATTTTCGATTATGCATTGATAGGACCTATTGAGGATTTATATGCAAAGTCTGCGAACCAGCCCATTTCAGCTCACGTTATCAGCTCACACCCAGAATCCGACGTAACTACACGCGAAATTTGCAAGCGCCTTGAGAGGTTCTGGGAGTCAGAAGAACCCCAACCTCATATAGCGACCAGTCCTTTGGAGGAGCAATGCGAAGAAATTTACCGCACCACAAAAACTCGAGAACCATCAGGCAAATATATGGTAACATTGCCTTTTCTACCAAATGCACCGACCTTAGGCAACACTCATGCTATTGCGTTACGTAGATTTCTCAATCTCGAAAAGAAGCTTCAAGCAAATCCGCCCCTCCGCTCTCAATATGTTGACTTTATGAATGAGTATCTCAACTTGGGACACATGTCACCTTGTCACCCAAGTACCTTTGCAGGTAGGCCTCACTTCTATATTCCGCATCATGGCATCTTTAAGACGGGATCAAATAAGCTACGCACTGTATTTGATGGTAGCAGTAAAAGCTCAAATGGTGTAAGTTTAAATGAATGCTTGCACACAGGTCCAGCTCTCCAACAGGATATTGTCGATATTATTATGTCATTTAGAACACACCCTGTAGTCTTCAGTACTGACATCAGAAAGATGTTCAGAAACATACTCATTCATCCAGACCCAAGACATTATCAACTTATTCTCTGGTGGTCGTCACCTGACCAGCCTCTGCTCACATATGCGCTAAATACAGTCACGTATGGTTTACGGTCCAGCCCGTACCATGCCATCCGCACACTGCTACAATTAGCTGATCACGAAGGTAATCGTTACCCACAAGCTGCTCAGATCCTACGCAATTCTATCTTCATTGACGATATACTCTGTGGCCATGACTCTGTGGAGTCTGCTCAGGTACTACAAATCGAGTTAATTAATTTGCTTGGCATGGGTGGCTTTCAGCTCAGTAAATGGACTTCAAACTGTCCCCAGCTCCTGGAACGGTTTCCAGACGACCAATGTGACATGCCTAAGGACTTTGACATCAGCCCAGAATCGAACACCATTAAAGTGCTTGGGATACAATGGATTCCTCAATCGGATGAGTTAACTTATCGCATCTCTCTCCCTCCAATAACCCAAATCACAAAGCGCTCTATTCTCAGCACAGTAGCATCACTCTATGACCCCAACGGTTGGGTCACACCGGTCATTTTCCGCGCAAAGCTCCTTTTACAGAAGTTATGGATTCTGAAACTGGGATGGGACGAACCCCCTGGCAATGAAGTTTACACAGAGTGGCAGCACATTTCACAAGATCTTCCTCAACTCTCGAATCTCCGCTTACCTCGTCACATTTGCAAATATAAGCCGACATCCACTTACTCACTCCACGGATTCGCGGACGCATCAGAAGCTGGATTTGCGTCTGTCATTTATCTTCATGAGCTCAATGCCAATGGACAGGTCAATGTACACCTGGTCATTGCCAAGTCAAAGGTCGCGCCTATTAAAAATCGCCTCTCAATTCCTAAACTGGAACTATCAGCTGCAGCTCTTTTATCACAACTCATGACTCGTGTGTCCACCAAATTATCAGCTCATATTGCGATTGACCAGCATATCTGTTGGTCGGATAGCACAATAGTTATAGCTTGGCTTAACACGCCCCCTCATCGGCTCCAGACATTCGAGGCCAATCGAGTGTCAAAAATAACGTCTAGTCCGACTAGCACTATATGAAGACATGTTCCCACGAATCTCAACCCTGCAGACTGTGCAAGCAGGGGCATGTCAGCACAATCTCTATCAGCTCATGATCTCTGGTGGTCTCCCAGTTGGCTCAAAGAGACCCCTAACACCTGGCCCAAGATGCCAGTTGCTTTAGGCCATCATGCTTTACCAGGCCTTAAACCGAAAAAGGTGCCAGCGCATATAGCGATTCCGGATGTTGACCATGATCTGCTCACTCGTTTCAGCTTCCTTGGCAGCTCGTCGGGGTGACGGCTTGTATCAGGCGTTTCATTTTCAATTGCAAGCGCGGTCCAGAGGCACGAAGCGCTGGTCCGTTGACAGTTAGTGAACGTAGGGACGCTCTGTTATTTTGGGTCCGCTCCGTTCAACGAAATGAGTTCGCAGAGGACTTTCACCGTCTTCAAACAGATAAACTTTTTACCGCTCGACTGCAGCGTCTTTCGCCATTTATGCAGGACGGTCTCTTGAGAGTCGGATGTCGTCTCTCTCACGCTTCGATTAGGTACGATGCTCAACATCCACTCATTCTGCCCAGCTCCAGCCCACTCGTAGACCTTATCATTGACCACTATCACAAAATATACTGCCATCCTGGCTCAGACACTCTACACGCCATTCTACGCCAGCAATTCTGGATACTATCCGCTCGCCGCGTGATCAGACGCAGGGTGTTTAAATGTATAAGATGTTTCCGATGTCGCGCTCAACCCGAAGCCCCGTTAATGGGTGACCTTCCCGCGGACAGGGTTAACCCTCAACCTGTATTTAGCCAAGTCACGACTGACTTTGCCGGCCCGTTTCTCATTAAATCTAGCACATTACGGAACGCTAAGCTCTAAAAAGCGTACTTTTGTATATTCGTGTGTCTCTCAACGAAGGCGGTTCATTTAGAGGCCGTCTCTGCTCTTAACACAGAAGCCTTTCTCGCAGCGTTACAACGATTTATCTCACGGCGCGGTACGCCGGTACTAATTAGATCAGATTGCGGCACCAATTATGTAGGCTCCAGAAATCACCTCATAGAAGTTCAAAATTTTCTCACTGCTAATAATGATGCAATCACACACAAACTAGCCAACCAGCACGTAACCTGGTTGTTGAACCCCCCAAAGGGGCCCTGGTTTGGCGCGTTACATGAAATTAACATTAAATCTACGAAACAATTACTTTATCGGGTAATTGGTGAACAACACCTTACATTTGAGGAATTTTCCACACTTCTGACACGAATTGAGGCTGTACTTAACTCCAGACCTCTCTGCCCACTCTCATCCGACCCGTCGGACCTTCAGCCCTTAACCGCTGGCCATTTTATTATAGGCCGTCCGCTCACAGCTCTGCCCGAGCCGTCCTTTGATGACAGGCCATTATCTGCTCTTAAACGTTTTCAACTCATAAAAGCTCTTTCTCAACGCTTTTGGACACTGTAGTGTGGATCCTACCTCCATACCCTACAGACCCGCTCCAAATGGCTTTCCCCTTCCTCACCTCCTCAAGTTGGCGAACTTGTACTCATCAAAGAAGATAACCTGCCCCCGCTCCAATGGAAACTGGGAAGAATTACCCGTACAATACCTGGGAAGGATGGAGTGATCCGAGTTGTGGATCTGGACACAGCCTACGGACATCTGCGCAGACCTGTGCTCAAGATAGCAAGGCTGCCGTTGGATTCAGCTCAGGAGGAGGTACTCTCTCGGGCCCCCCAGGATGTTCGCGCCACTCGCGCGCGACGATTGATTCTCTGATTCGCTTTCTCTCTCTCATTCATTGATTCAGCGCGAGAGCAGTATTGCGTCAGTCGCAACCCCGGAAGGAGTCACGCGCCGCCCTCGTTCGAAAAAAGGTGTAAGAAAGCGCGTCCGCGACCTTCAGCTCATCGGCTAGCGTTAATTACGTATATATTGCCGGCCGGTATCTAATATATCTAAGTGATAATCATTACGAACAATTAAACATTAAAGTGAAAGTGACAGTGTATGATATAAGACTTTGGTTGCACGTGTATACATTTAACGGCATAACCAGCTCAGGAGCGTGCCAGCCACCCAGCACCATTCATTTATCATCCGCCCATCTGCATTCAAAGTAAGTGCACACCCTTACATTTCCTCTCCAATTTCGTTCAACCCGCGCTTCAGCTCACCGTCGATGTGAGGCTTTCCCTCACAGCCGTCAGTCGGCGATGGTGTGTCTTACCTGGAATAGTGGTGTTGGTAGTAGTGCCGGTAGTAGTGGTGTTTGGAGTAGTGGTGCTGGGACTAGTGGTGACGGGATAAGTGCATGCAATTGAGGGAGGGCGGGAGGTGCTCTTCAATCCAGGTAAGACACATCATTGTATTTAGTTAGCGGAAGGTTGCAAAATAATTGATATTTTTATTATAATGGATTTCCGCAAAGTAACGCCTGATTCTATCAATTATAATTCAATACCGCCTGCACAGTTTTTAGACGATATTTTAATTATTTTCGACGAAATGGACGACAAATAAAGCATTAAAAGAGAAAATGTTTTTAATTCATATTCCCCCTGCTTTTTTATAATTATTCAAACCTCTAGGATTTAGTTGGACGGCGTCTGAATTCTCCATGTGTGTATGTCCTACAATAAATTCGGATAAATTCTAGTTTACAATAGAGACTACTATTTATTTTCTTAGAGTGTAATGTGAGAGCTTGGTGTAAGAACATTGTAAGCAAAACAAAACAACATTGTAACAAACCAATAGCATCCCATTTTATATTCTACCATGAAACAGTCTTAAACATTTTAGTTTTTTTTTTTAAATGGTATTAGTATATAAATAAAATAATGTCGAAAATCGTTACTGTAACATCAAGCCCAACTCTCTATGAACTTTCGCCAATATCGTTAAACAAAATCTATAGACTTAAATAATAATCTGACTACTCACTTGAACATCTTTTTTTGCACATACTGGTGAACTGCATGCGACAGTGGAACGTTAATAGTTTGCATGGCATTCGCTTGCAAGCAAAACACACGGCCACCCTGTAAATGATACAATAGAATATTTACTGAAAGTCATTAACGTTTATTAATAAAAAATATAAGAATATTTTGTCTAAATAAGTAATTATTAGATAATGTCATTAGTTACAAGCTATTAAGACAATATTATATCAATATTTTATATGTATATCAATATTTTATATGTAGCATGAATGGGTCGGCTCGACCGGGAAAGGCCCAGGGAACATACTCTCACAGAATACCAGCATAAAATGGAGCTTAATACTGTTGCTGTGTTTCGCACGTTGAGTGTAAAGAACCGGAGACCCTTTTTACTGAAAACGAGGCATTCCATCTTAGTCCTCACGAGTGACAACGCATCTGCATTTTGATTCGTAATTGAGGAAAAATGTAGATGTTTATGTGGCCACAGCAACCACTTACCATCAGGTGGACTGTGTGCTCGTTTTCACCACTATCCTATAAAAAAACATTTTGATTCGTAATCGAGGAAAGATGTAGATGTCTATGGGGCCACAGCAATCACTTACCATCAGGTGGACTGTGTGCTCGTTTGTCACACTATCCTATAAAAAAACATTTTGATTCGTAATCGAGGAAAGATGTAGATGTCTATGGGGCCACAGCAATCACTTACCATCAGGTGGACTGTGTGCTCGTTTGTCACACTATCCTATAAAAAAACATTTTGATTCGTAATCGAGGAAAGATGTAGATGTCTATGGGCCACAGCAATCACTTACCATCAGGTGGACTGTGTGCTCGTTTGTCACACTATCCTATAAAAAAACATTTTGATTCGTAATCGAGGAAAGATGTAGATGTCTATGGGGCCACAGCAATCACTTACCATCAGGTGGACCGTGTGCTCGTTTGTCACACTATCCTATAAAAAAACATTTTGATTCGTAATCGAGGAAAGATGTAGATGTCTATGGGGCCACAGCAATCACTTACCATCAGGTGGACTGTGTGCTCGTTTGTCACACTATCCTATAAAAAAACATTTTGATTCGTAATCGAGGAAAGATGTAGATGTCTATGGGGCCACAGCAATCACTTACCATCAGGTGGACTGTGTGCTCGTTTGTCACACTATCCTATAAAAAAACATTTTGATTCGTAATCGAGGAAAGATGTAGATGTCTATGGGGCCACAGCAATCACTTACCATCAGGTGGACTGTGTGCTCGTTTGTCACACTATCCTATAAAAAAACATTTTGATTCGTAATCGAGGAAAGATGTAGATGTCTATGGGGCCACAGCAATCACTTACCATCAGGTTGACTGTGTGCTCGTTTGTCACACTATCCTATAAAAAAAACATTTTGATTCGTAATCGAGGAAAGATGTAGATGTCTATGGGCTACAGCAATCACTTACCATCAGGTGGACTGTGTGCTCGTTTGTCACACTATCCTATAAAAAAACATTTTGATTCGTAATCGAGGAAAAATGTCGATGTCTATGGGGCCACAGCAATCACTTACCATCAGGTGGACTGTGTGCTCGTTTGTCACACTATCCTATAAAAAAAAACATTTTGATTCATAATCGAGGAAAGATGTAGATGTCTATGGGCCACAGCAATCACCTAATATCAGGTGGACTGTGTGCTCGTTTGTCACACTATCCTATAAAAAAACATTTTGATTCGTAATCGAGGAAAGATGTAGATGTCTATGGGGCCACAGCAATCACTTACCATCAGATGGACTGTGTGCTCGTTTTCACCACTATCCTATAAAAAAACATTTTGATTCGTAATCGAGGAAAGATGTAGATGTCTATGGGGCCACAGCAATCACTTACCATCAGGTGGACTGTGTGCTCGTTTGTCACACTATCCTATAAAAAAACATTTTTATTCGTAATCGAGGAACGATGTAGATGTCTATGGGCCACAGCAATCACTTACCATCAGGTGGACCGTGTGCTCGTTTGTCACACTATCCTATAAAAAACATTTTGATTCGTAATCGAGGAAAGATGTAGATGTCTATGGGGCCACAGCAATCACTTACCATCAGGTGGACTGTGTGCTCGTTTTCACCACTATCCCATAAAAAAACATTTTGATTCGTAATCGAGGAAAGATGTAGATGTCTATGGGGCAACAGCAATCACTTACCATCAGGTGAACTATGTGCTTGTTTGTCACACTATCCTATAAAAAAAAAACATTTTGATTCGTAATCGAGGAAAGATGTAGATGTCGATGGGGCCACAGCAACCACTTACCATCAGGTGGACTGTGTGCTCGTTTGTCACACTATCCTATAAAAAAACATTTTGATTCGTAAACGAGGAAAGATGTAGATGTCTATGGGCCACAGCAACCACTTACCATCAGGTGGACTGCAGTGGCGAAGCTCAAAAGCCCGGCTTGCCTTATTAAGATGAATCAATCAATTATATTAAGTAATGAAATAACTCGTAAACTGTTTCAAACTATTTCAAAATCCCCGCGCACTCTGTGAGACCTCGTAGCCTTACGAATACTGCTGTCATACATATAAGGAGATTTGAATTGAGCGATTGGTTTTCTCCCTCGCACGCGTGGGCATTTTACCGGGCTTTCCAGAAGGCGATCGCTCCCTTTCTAACCTGTGGCATAATGTTCTATAATGAAATATAACTACGATTGTATAAATAACAGTTAGTATGGAGCTAAAAAGCCCGGCTTTTTAGTGACCATTAATTTTTTCCTCAGAGCGGGACGCCTTTAAAATTATTATAGTTCTAAACACTTTTGACTGCCTTCTTGGTCTAATGGCAGTAAACGCAATTGCTGATCATGTGGTCCCAAGTTCGAAACCCGAGTCGGGTCAAGAATCATTTATTGGGTTTTTCCTTCACAAAATTCTCAGTAGCAGTAGTATTACACTTATTGTATATGTTAGTATTATACTTACGCCATTATTAAAAATCAATCTGGAACCCTTTAATATAAACAACATAGTTGTTTGAGTCTTTTAATGATCAAAAGTGAATTCTAAACATCAAATAAATACTAATTGGAAATATCTTTTGTTATTTGATAATTTTTTGTAGATTAATTAAAAATTGTCACTTCGTAACTTTAAATTCAAAAGTGTAGCTTTTCAGAATAATCACGTAACTAGACAAGCTATGCAAACCTGGTACGCGCGGCGTCATAATGATGGCACGGGTGACAGGGTTTGCGTGATTGTCACGCTTTTGTTTGTCAAAGCGGGACATTTTTACGTATTTTTGGGATAGCGCGACACAAACCTTTAAATCGGGAACGTCCCGCCTAAAGTGGGACGTATGGTCACGTTAGGTATGAAGTTAGTCGAGAGAGAAGGCGCGCGGCCGACGCCGACGAGCCGACGATATGTTAGCAAGTTCGTGTCACATTTCAATGTTTAGTTTTTACATTGTGTCAAAGAGTACTTCTACTTTGTGCATTGTGTTGAGCTTGAGCGAATGTATTGCGAGTTAAAAATTTATGCTTTTTTAAAGATTTTCAGTGAAAATGGGAGGATAATAGTGTTCATTGGGATGAATATAAGTGTGTTGAAGTGCTAATCGGCGAGGAAAAGGTAAGATGTTTAAAAATGAAATTTAATATTCAATAAACATTTCTTCATACTTTAAATATAGGTACAGGATCTTTAGTATTATAGTTTAATTAAGTTAGGCGTATTTAAAGGTTTAATAACTCAATATTTATATTACCATAATAATTAAAAATATCAATTTGAACACCAGCATAAAATATGAGACACCTAGGTTTAATTTTATAGGATGATGAAATGATGTTTTTTATATTCTTGATTATTTTTTCAGAGAAATAATTAATTTCGACTTTTAGTTTACCTCGTTTGTACTTTTATTTGACCCTTACACAGAAGTTTAGTATATATAGCCTGTTCGCCAAGCGATGCGCACTCGTACAATACCTACCTTATGTTTGCTCCAGAAGAGCACTAATTAGATCAGAATTATGTAAAATTGTGTACCTATGAAAAAACTATTTTTTCGTTTTAAACAAAACCAAAGACACTATGCAATAGATAATAGTATCAAAGACAAAGATATTCTCTTTTATTTTAAACCATAACCTGGCAATGTTTCTTAGAAGAAAAAAAAGAAATCACTCTGAACTTTCGGCGTTCCACGTGTCGCTTTGATGAAGGTGCTCCGTCTTTTTTATAGAATTTTATATTTGTGTCTGGACTAAAAACGAAAGTATTATACTTTTTTATATTCCTTGTAATATAGTGAACACGTAGATATATAATTTGTGGTATAAAAAGTGAAAAGTAAATTGCCAAAAGTACTTCAAAATCCGGAAGGCCCATTTTGGCGGTTGGGTCATAAATGTGTTATTTTTCAAATTCTCATTTATTTTAGTGTAAAATGTAAGTAAAAATAGTTTTCTTACATATTTCAAATAACTTGACATTGTATTTATTTCAAATTCACACAAAAATATTTTAGAAATATTGTTCGAAATGTCATACAGATAGAATATTTTTTTTATATTTTAATATTTTGGTATGAGTAACGAATGGAAACACATATAACATAAAAATATACATATTTCCAAACATTTTCATATAAATTTCTCCAAAAACAAAAGTGTAGAATTCAAATTAGTAGTAATTTTGTCACTAAAATTGAAGTATATACTACTACTATGCTATACAGGTTAATTTACGTATTTTATTACAATTTCTAGCAACCAAAAATAATTTTATTCGATAGTTTATACATTCAACAAGAATTCCTGTAAGTTTTATCCATAAATATTGTCTCAAAGTGAAAATATAGCAAAATTTGCAATATAGCAAAAAAATTTCTAACTTACAAATTTTCCCGCCATTAAGGTCCCGAGTGAACGGGAGTATAACATGTCGCGCGCTGTCAGACGCTACAGGATAGTATAGTTAGGAAATTACTTTGTTTTATTTTACCTGGAATCCAACTACTGATCCCGCGAGTGGTTGTGTGGCCGCAGGGAAACTACCAGCTTTTATGGAAAGCAAGCCACCACCTGACAGGCACAGTAGCTCATCACATAACGAGTTCCAGGACACCGATGATACGTTTTCTTCCTGCAAAAATTTATGTTTTCGTGGCCTTATTTCATAATTAAAGCTTTTAATTTTAAAATGCAAGCAGCGTAACCAGTACTAGAATACACCGGTACTGATTCTGCATATACCAACAAATAACGAAGTCGATCAAAGTGATATAGGCAATTGATTCAAGGTCACACAATCATATTATGGTTGTAGCACAAATAAAACGGCTCGACCGGGAAGTACCACGCTTTCACGAATACCAGTGTAAAATAGCAGCTTAGTTTACAATGGGCTGTTTCCGCAACTCGATTATTGGAGCCATGAAATCTCCCTGAAGAAGTTCAACAGTCCTTTGATGTTGCAAGCAACTTCAGGGAGTAATCCCGACGTGCCGAGATGTTTAGCCCTGTATGCGGGGACCTTCGGTCATGTCACCGTTTCTTCCTCCCCATACATGCCCTGCACAGGGAATTATCTGTAACACTTATGGTAAATAAATGTTTGTTTAAGAAGCAATATCCCTGTGATAGCACTTGTCACTATCCTGATCTGTAGCTTGTTCAGTCTCATTAGAACCTTGGTTAAACGACTTATTATTTCAGGCAGGGCCTCCCTAATAAATAACACCTTAATGCTGTTTCGTATGGTTGATATGTATAATAGTCTCCGGTACCCTTTATACTGAATACGAGGCATTCTGTCTTAGTGCGGGTGACAACCCCTTTTTCATTTTGATTCTTAATGGAGGTTAAATGTAAATGTCTGTGAGTACACTTACCATCAGGTGGGCTGTTTACTCGTTCGTCACCCTTATTCAATTTTAAAAAACTAGCGCATTTGTTTAAATATTGAAGAAGATTTGTACAGCTATGTCAGTGTTATTTACTCTTCGGCTACATGTACCACATTTGATAGTAATCAAATGATGGCTTATAATAATTTAGTTTAATCCCGCTACCAGAGCAATAAAAATAGAACGCGAGTAACCCGGGTTCGATCCCCGCCGGCCTCCAATGAAATTGTTAATTGCAATTTTAAGTGCTGATTTACCACGTGCTCGGCGGTGAAGAAAAACATCGTGAGGAAACAACCTGCATGACTGAGGAATAAGAAAAAAAATATTTCGAACGCCAACACGCATTGGTGCAGCGCGGCGGACACTTCCTTGCCCTAAAACTCTCTCAGAAATGAGGGGAAGCCTGTGCCCAGCAGTGGGACGTGTATAGGCTGTAACTTCACTTTACTTTTTTACCAGAGCAATAGATATAGATATGCAGAATAATAGCCGAATAATACAGAATAGAAGCCGACAAACCTGTGCTGATGGCGTAAGAGAATGTATCGAACGTTTTCATCCCGTGGATATCGTGTAAATGTCATAAACATCACTAACCTTTTGGATTTTTTGGATTTTTTTTCACGTGGTAGAACCATTCTGCAGTTCTATTCGTAGTATAGTTGTAGCACGAATCGGCTCGACCGGGGAAGGAACATACCTTCACAGAATACCAGCGTAAAATAACAGTTCAATGCTGTTATGTTTCGTATGATGGAGAGCCCGAGACCCCTTTTACTAGAAACGAGGCATTACATTTTAGTCCTCGCGGGTCACAACGCATGTGTATTTTGATTCATTACTGTAGGTAGATGTAAATGTCTATGGGCCACAGGAACCACTTACCATCAGATGGACAGTGTGCTCGTTTCTCACCCTTCTTATTTTCCAATCTTATTTTAAAAAAACTTTGTGGTACAACCGTCTCTTAAATATCAGATCACACATACTATTCAAATCGTTGAAGACGAACAGCGTTGGACAAGTAAGACTTCTGGAGCGATCGATAATTCGCAGCAGAAGTGTGACGGTAGCGATAAAATCTTTTTACGTCGATAAAGTCCCACGTCCAGTACTGGACCGTGCGTGACTTAAATAATATAAAAAAACTTACAGAGTACAGCATCTCCACTGTGGGTAAGCAGTAGACGCGGCAAACGGACGAGTCGTCGACGACTGCCAGACAGTTTCGAGACGCGCTTACGTCGAGACAACGAACACCGGCCGGCGTAGTCACGGTCACTTTGGAACTGCCCTCTCTAGGTTCCACTTGCCAAATCTAAGCAACCACACAACAAAACACTTGTTAAACAAAATTAACGGGTAATTCATGAAGGTTAGAAAACAGGAGAACGATCGCCGTAGAAAATAGTGTACCAGAAATATGGACACCATAAGTGAGGCGCTGCGATCACTAAGTTCGGTCAATAAAAGTCATTTTCAGTCTTATTTTTCCGATCAGATGCTAAAGCACTTGCACATCTACGCACAATAAAATATTTCTCCATTTTTTAATGTTCCTTTTTGTCAAAAATTACAAAATTACGGAGCATGGAAATTTTCACACCAATGCCGCGGAGAAAATTTGTACATTATTCAACTAACTTCATCTACTTGTACTCATAAACAGCTAACTTCGCAGTCACTACTCACCGACGTCAGCGCCGCTATATATTCTACAATTTTCAAGGACAGGCGGACAATGCTTTAGTACGTAGTGATCGTTCTCCTGTTCTCTAAACTTCATCAAAATCCGACCATCCGGTTCATGATAAGTAACAAGATATGGCTACATTAAATTTTATTACCTGATATCAATAAAATCTTAAAAGTGATAAATTTTGTATTTTTAAAAGAAGAAGCAAACAAATACATAATTTATGAAAGATATATATGAAAACTCTACAATTGAAAAAGTCATTTAAAATTTATAAACAGTGTCTTAAGGAAAGAATAAAATCAAAAATTTTAATTTATTTTGTTCAGTAAAGGTCATAATTGATAGAATCAGGCGTTACTTTGCGGAAATCCATTATAATAAAAAATAAAAATATAAATTTCTTTGCAACTTTCCGCTAAACATATAAAATGATGTGTCTTACCTGGAATGAAGCGCACCTCCCGCCTTCCCTCAATTGCATACAGTAACTCCGTCACCACTATACCAAGCACCACTACTCTCAACACCACTATTCCAGGCAAGACACACCATCGACGATAATACGACACGTGTTTCGCCTCTACACGAGGCATCATCAGGTAATATAGACTCTACGGCGGCTGACCGCTAAGTGAGCGGCGAGTCGAAACAGTTGCTATTTATACACGCTGACACAATCGCTCCCTACCAAAGTAGCGAGTGACCGCGTCGTGCGATAACAAAACTGCCAACAGTTATTATTATTGTTATGATTATTTTTAAAATACTATTATTATTATTGTTTTGAGTGACCGCGCCGTGCGATAACAAATCTGCTACTAATTATTATTATTGTTATGATTAATATTTTAAATACTATTATTATTATTGTTTTATTGATATTATTATAATTATTTATTATTATTAATCTTAAAATTATTATTAAAGATTGGCCTTAAAGATGTTTAACAAAGGTGAATTAGAAACATTTGTTTGTTCATTCAGCAGTGTATAATTACCATTATTACTTTTTAAAATCTCCAACTGTCCAGCACACGCAGTCGCAGCCCCTTATTACGGTATGTAACACTTCGAGGAATGGTCGCTAATTGTGTCCAGTGTCCAAGAGATGTTTAGCAAAATGGGATTTATCAGGATTACAGAAATTGCAATCCTGATAAATCCCATTTTGCTAAACATCTCTTGGACACTGGACACAACCTAGCTAGCGACCATTCCCTTCGGAAGTGTTATATACCTGTAATAAGGGGCTGCGACTGTGTGTGCTGGAGCAGTTGGAGATTTTAAAAAGTAATAATGGTAATTATACACTGCTGAATGAACAAACAAATGTTTCTAATTCACCTTTGTTAAACATCTTTAAGGCCAATCTTTAATAATAATTTTAAGATTAATAATAATAAATAATTATAATAATATCAATAAAACAATAATAATAATAGTATTTAAAATATTAATCATAACAATAATAATAATTAGTAGCAGATTTGTTATCGCACGGCGCGGTCACTCAAAACAATAATAATAATAGTATTTTAAAAATAATCATAACAATAATAATAACTGTTGGCAGTTTTGTTATCGCACGACGCGGTCACTCGCTACTTTGGTAGGGAGCGATTGTGTCAGCGTGTATAAATAGCAACTGTTTCGACTCGCCGCTCACTTAGCGGTCAGCCGCCGTAGAGTCTATATTACCTGATGATGCCTCGTGTAGAGGCGAAACACGTGTCGTATTATCGTCGATGGTGTGTCTTGCCTGGAATAGTGGTGTTGAGAGTAGTGGTGCTTGGTATAGTGGTGACGGAGTTACTGTATGCAATTGAGGGAAGGCGGGAGGTGCGCTTCATTCCAGGTAAGACACATCATTTTATATGTTTAGCGGAAAGTTGCAAAGAAATTTATATTTTTATTTTTTATTTTCAGTAAAGGTCAGTTTCAGTGGTAAGTTATGAATATTTCTTTAGAACAGTTATATGAGAAATTAAAGAAGTGAGAACATATTTAATTTAAATTGGACCGAGTAGACGTGAAGGAAAAGTTTTAGATACTAAACTTAAAGATACCAATGAAATATTTAGTGACTATTCTAAGTTGTTAATAAATTTTAATAGTAAAGTAAAGGAAGGTAAGATTAAATCTACTGATATTCCATCTTATCAAACCTATTGTAAGAATTTTGAATCATTATATCAGGATATTATAAAATTGTGTAAGCCCGAGTGTGTACAATCTGAAAATCCGAGCAATATGGATACTTTCGATTTGAAAATGGACATTCACCTGGCCATTGAGCAATCCCAAAAGCAGAACCTCCTTGAAGAATAACGTTGTCACCTTCACGTAACGAATTGGTGCTGGAAATGACCAAATTTTCGGCAAGCGTTTTCCAATCAATGATAATTTGTTATCCTGTAAAAAGTTAAAATAAAAATTAAAAAATCTTACTGAATTTCTTTAAAAAAAATTAAAAAATAAAGCGTCGGAAAGAAAAAGATACAAAGTTGTACTTTTTCTCTTCTTCAGCCTATAAAAATAAAAAGAGGATTTGGCTAAATCGTTACGCTTGACGGGCGCATTGATGGTTACAGTACGTATGATGGTACAGTAGGTTACAGAACCTACCAGACGTTTCACAATATTTTCGTCGGTCTAGGTAATTTATACTTGGCGTAAATCTCTCTGGCACATTCCAAGACACTCTATTTCGACACTTTTCGCCGCCTCACCGCAGGTCTTAAAATTAGAAGGAAGGAAAAACTATTTAGTAACTATTTAAGCAAACGTCTAATATAGAACTCAATTTTTTCATTTTATTTTAAATTAATTTAAACTAACTGGTAATATAATTTTATACGTGATAGACCCATGCTGCAGCTATATTAATACTATAGCTGTAGCACCAATTGATCGGCTCAACCAGGGAAGGACCACGCTCTCACAGAATACCAGCGTAAAATAGCAGCTTAACGCTACTGTGTTTCGTATGGTGAGTGTAGAGAACCGGAGACCCATTTTGCTGGAAACGAGGCATACCATCTTAGTTCTCACGGGTGACAACGCATCTGCATTTTGATTCGTATTTGAGGACAGGTGTAGATGTCTATAGGCAACAGTTCGTTTGTCATCTTATTCTATAAAAAAAAACGTAGGAAAATTTCATCACACAATTTCGATCGGGACTCTAGTGCTTGTGTTAGAATCAACGGGGTCTACTCGTTCTGGTTTGACATCCATAAAGGTGTCAGACAGGGCTGTGTGGCTTCCCCGTGGCTATTCAACCTATTTATGGACAGTTGTTTGCAAAATTTTAAAGTTGAAGAATGCGGATTAAGAATGGGTGATTTAACCATCAAATGCCTTTTGTACGCCGATGATCAAGTTATCCTTGCATCGTCGGCGGCCGAGTTGCAAATGATGGTTACATTAATGAACAGATCATTAAAAGACAGGGGTATGAAAGTGAACGCAAGTAAGACGAAGGTTATGGTTTTTGAAAGAGAAGAAAGTAAAACGATTTGTGAAATAAGAATAGAAGGGAAGTAGATGAGTTTGTATATTTGGGCTGGGTATTTAGCAGGGATGGGAGATATGATAAGGACATAGAACGACGAGTGAATGAGGGAAATAGAGTAAATGGGGCCCTGCACTCTATTGTGAAGAGTCAAAATGTGTCAAAAAAGGCACATATGGCAATTCACAATGCTGTGTTGGTCCCTACTTTAACGTATGGTAGTGAAAGTTGGGTGAAATCAACGCAGAAAATGCGGTCGTTAAGGAGTATGTTAGGGCTGAATCTGAACGACAGGGTAAGAAATTGTGTAATAAGAGAAGAGTGTGGTTTGCAAGATAATGTTGTGACCAGAATTAAGAAAGGAATGCTTCGGTGGTTTGGTCATGTGGAAAGAATGAATGAAGAAAGAGTGATAAAGAAAATTTATGTTGCAGAAGTGAATGGCAGAGTCGGAAAGGGACGTCCTAGGCGAAAATCTATCGACCAAATTGGCGATTTATTGAAAACGGGCCAAATTAGGAGTACCCTTAACCGACGAGCATGTATGCGAAGGTGTATGGATGTGAAGGAGCCGAGAGAGGTGTGTCAGGGTCGTGCCAAATGGAAGTCTGTAGTCTCTGCCTACCCCTCTGGGTGACAGGCGTGAGTGTTTATGTTATGTTATGTTTTACTATTTCGACCCGTCATAAATTTCATATAAAAGCCAAATGTAAAATATGAACGCACAGTTATAATATTAATTCGCTGGCTAGGTACTTTACGCGCGCTTAGTGCGAAAAATGCGAAAAGTGCGACAAATAAAGGCAATTAATTATCTTCTTGCTATTATTTTCTTCTGATTTGTTTTATTTGAAAAATTGCGATGGACTATAGTAGCTAAGAAGCATATGATTATATCCTCCAGGGAATAAATCTACAACTAACGATCAACACAAAAAAGTGATACGTGATTAATACCTACTACAATAACTTTTTATTAAATTATATTACTATCGATAGGATCGTTTTCATAAAAAAACCTTGTCCAAAATTGGACCGATTTATACTTTTTTGAAGAACAATATTATAAAAAGGACTGTCGATGTCTGTAGCTTTTCTTTCAATTTTTATTTTCGTTAAATTTCTTTATTGGATGACTAACAACGTTTTCATAACAGAATATTTTAAGTTATTTCAGAAGGTTCTTTGATTTTTAAATAATTTGTGGAATAAATGGAACACAGAAACATAGTATTGATAGATATAGACCATATTATGGTAATAAAATGTTAGCTCTATTATCATTCTCCAGGCATATAAAAAAAGAAACACGTTTGTGTGGATCATTAACGTCCACTACAAGGATTTTGATATTCTTATATAATATATATATATATATATATATATATATATATATATATATATATATATATATATATATATATTTATAATGATTTCTTATATTTACGCGAACACTATACATGATTAAAACTACTTTTACGGATTTTATCGCGTTTATTTTTACTTTTTATTTACTTTTATTTTTAATTCCCACGTCACGGGGGGACTGACAGTCAGTCCCCACGTACCATGGGTGCTGGAAAGCGCCCGAAACGTCGGGAATTAAAAATAAAAGTAAATAAAAAGTAAAAATAAACGCGATAAAATCCGTAAAAGTAGTTTTAATCATATATATTTTTAAACAAGTGCATGTGTTTCATTAAAAATTTCATGGGTATTAAGAAGTCCAATACATAAGCACACCAGCAATATGTATCATAAATCAAAATTTTATTGTTTATCATATTATTAAAATTAAAAATTATATTATATCCATAAAGATATTTATTCAATATACAAAAAAAACTTACACTATACTTTATGACTAAGACCTACTGTATTATACAGCAAGATCAGTTAAAACAACAATATTATGCAATACTGTATGTATATGCATGACACGTAATAACACAGTTTAGGCATAGATAAATAAGTTAAAGTCGTAGTATTGTGGTCTTGATTAGCCCGAGATTTTTTCTCTGAACCTAGTTAAGGCAAAGTTCTCCTCTGAAACTGCAACACTGACCAAAGTTTCATCGTACGTTACAGCCACGTCTTATCGCTGGGCATAGGCACCCTCTTATCTCTGGAAGGGTTTTAGGGCAAGGGGCACAGGGTGTATAAGTGACAACGCGTCCATATTTTGATTTTTAAATACTTAATCGAGTATAAATGTACATAGACGTCTATAGGCCACTATTTACCACTAGGTGGAATGTGGGCTGATTTGTCACACTTGTTCTATAAAAAAAAAGCAATGGGCGTAGTCCCTTTAAAATTTCGCAAATGCTATACACACTATAATATATCGAATGCAAATGACGAATATATACGAGCAATATGGCATATCGGCGAAATCATCACTTTATTCCAAATGGATAAGAAATACATTCATTGAGTCAAGCAGAACTTATTATTCGCATTAATCAGATTTTAAATAAGACAGGGAAATAGTAAACAGCAACCAATAAAAATAATTCATAACCTAAAATACAACCACCAAGTCACTTGCCAATCTTGGCAATTTTTTTATAGTATGACAAACGAGCACACAGTGCACCTGATGTTAAGTGGATGCTGTAGCCCATAAACATCTACCTTTATCTTCAATTAAGAATCAAAATGCAGATGCGTTGTCAACCCTGAGGACTAAAATGGAAAGCCTCGTTTCCAGTAGAAAGGGTCTCCAGTTCTCTACACTCACCATACGGAACACAGTAACATCAAGCTGCTATTTTACGCTGGTATTCTGTGTAAACGTGGTCTTTCCCCGGTCGAGTCGACCCATTCGTGTTACAACCATAATATAGCTGCAGTGTGACTCTACCACGTAGAGCCATGGCAAATATTGCACAATGAGGCTATTTATGCAGCCTATGTTAAACGGTGAAATTTTGAAAGGCTATAATGAATAAATAGATACATTACAAAGAAAAAGTACAAAAGATGATCGCATTACAAAACAGATCTTGCACCTTAACACTATAAACATTAAGTAAGAAACCTAAATGACAAATGCATTGCAAGATGGTGTTGTGTACAGGATTAAGAAAGGAATGCTTCGGTGGTTGGGTCATGCAGAAAGAATGAATGAGAAGAGTGACAAAACAAATTTATGTTGCAGAAGTGAACGGCAGAGTCGGGAAGGGACATCCTAAACGAAAGTTTATCGACCAAATTGGCGATATATTGGAAATGCGATATATTAAGAGTACCTTTGACCGACGATTATGTATGCGTAGGCATATGGATGTGTAGGAGGCGAGAGAGGTGTGTCAGGATCATACCAAATGGAAGTCTGTAGTCTCTGCCTACCCCTACGGGTGAAAGGCGTGAGTATTTATATAAGTAAAGAAATTCGCATTTAAAGTTTATGGGTGACATTTTATAAGCAAATTATTCTTCGCAAGTTTTTACTAATACAAATAATAATAATAATAATAATTTATTTGACTCTCAATTAACAGGTTACACTTATGTATTATATCTATTTAAAATTACAAAATTACATTTCAAAGTAGTTGGCGTTAACGGCCATACTAATATAAACTGTGTTACAGTCATCAGCGTCTTCCACCCTGAGTAGTACAATACAAATACAGTAAAAAATTACGGATTATTTCGCTATATAATACACAACCATGTTAAGTTAAATAATAAATAAAAACATGAAGAGAAAACTTTCTAATTACCACAAACCAGTGTGTGTGTGTGAGTGCGTGTGCGTGTGCGTGTGCGTGTGCGTGCGTGTGTGTGTGTGTGTGTGTGTGTGTGTGTGTGTGTGTGTGTGTGTGTGTGTGTGTGTGTGTGTGTGTGTGTGTGTGTGTGTGCTTAAGTTGCGTGCGTGTGCTGTGTGTGT